GATTTGCGAAAGGGACATCATGCTTGACAAGTCTATTGGAATTCTTTGAGGATTCAAGTAGTATAGTTGATAAAGGGAGGATAGTGGATGTGATTTATTTGGACTTTCAGAAGGCTTTCGACTAAATCCCACTTTTGAGAGAAGACAGTTTAAAATTAAAGCACATGGGAAATAGGGGCTGTGTAATGAGATAGACAGAAAACTGCTTGGCAGACTGGAAACATGGAAACACAGAAAATCGGTGCAGGAGTAGCCCATTCATACCTTTGAGCCTGCACCACCATTCAATATGATCAAGTCTGATTGTGCAATTTCAGTATCTCACTCCCACTTTTTCTCCATACTCCTTGATCCCTTTAGCTGCAAGGACCATGTCTAGCTCCCCCTTGAATATATCTTACAAACCGGCCCCAGTAGCTTTCTGTGGTAGAGAACTCCACAGGTTCACACCTCTCTGAGTGAAGAAATTCTTCCTCATCTCAGTCCTGAATGGCTTACCTCTTACTCTTAGACTGTAAGAGTGGAAAGAATAACCAAGAGTAACGAAGAATAGGAATAAACAGGTCTTTTACTGAATGGTAGATGGTGACTATTGGGATGCCACAGGGATCAGTGCTTGGACCCCAGCTATTCGCAATATGTATTAATGGTTGAGATGAGGGAACTAAATGTAATATCCCCAACTTTGCAGATGACACAAAGGCGGGTGGGTGTGTTAACTGTGAGGATGATGCAGAGATGTTTCAGTGTGATTTGCATAAACTGAGTGAATGGGCAAACGTATGGGATCAATGTGAGGTTATTGCACTTCAGTAGCAAGAACATGAATACAGATTATTAACTGAATGGCTGTAAATTGAGAGAGGGGAATGTGCAATGAGACTTGGGTGTCCTCATACACCACTCACTGAAGGTAAGCATGCAGATGCAACAGGCGGTAAAGAAGACAAATGGTACTTCGACTTTCAAAGTGAGAGACTTTGAATACAGGAGCAGGGAGGTCATGCTGCTCTTGTATAGGGCCTCGGTGAGCTTGCACCTGAATCTTGTGTGCAGTTCCAGTCTCCTTATCTGAGGAAGGATGTTTTTCCCATCGAGGGAGCGCTGCAAAGGCTTACTCGTCTGATTCCTGGGACGGTGGGACTGATGCATGAGGTAAAGAACAAAGAAAATTACAGCACAGGAACAGGCCCTTCAGCCCTCCAAGCCTGCGCCGATCCAGATCCTTTATCTAAACCTGTCACCTATTTTCCGAGGATCTGTATCCCTCTGCTCCCTGCCCGTTCATGTATCTGTCTAGATACATCTTAAATGATGCTATCCTGCCTGCCTCTACTACCTCCGCTGGCAACACGTTCCAGGCACCCACCACCCTCTGCGTAAAGAACTTTCCACGCATATCTCCCTTAAACTTTTCCCCTCTCACCTTGAAATTGTGACCCCCTAGTAATTGAGTCCCCCACTCTGGGAAAAAGCTTCTTGCTATACACCCTGTCTATACCTCTCATGATTTTGTAGACTTCGATCAGGTCCCCCCTCAACCTTCGTCTTTCTAATGTAAATAATCCTAATCTACTCAACCTCTCTTCATACCAAGCAACATCCTGGTGAACCTCCTCTGCACCCTCTCCAAATTTTCCCCAGGGCTTTTCCATTTACCGTATAGTTCGCTCTTGAATTGGATCTTCCAAAATGCAACACGTCGCATTTGCCTGGATTGAACTCCATCTGCCATTTCTCTGCCCAACTCTCCAATCTATCTATATTCTGCTGCATTCTCCGACAGTCCCCTTCACTATCTGCTACTCCACCAATCTTAGTGTCGTCTGCAAGTTTGAATCAGTTAGGATTCTATTTGCTGGAGTTCAGAAGAATCAGAGGGGATCTCATAGAATAATATAAAATGTCAACAGGACATGACATGTTAGATGCAGGAAGGATGTTCCCAATTGCAGGGGTGGACCACAGTCACAGTCTGAGGACATGGGGTGAACCATTTTGCACTGAAATGTGGAAATATTTCTGCACCCAGAGAGTGGTGAGTGGTGGAATTTGTTACTGTAGAAGGCATTTGAGGCAAGAAAGAGTTGGAGGTAGTACTTGGGGCTAAAGGAATCAATGGATTTGGGGGAAAGCAGAAACAGGCTTTTGAATTAGATGATCAACTTTTATCATAATGAACGGTGGAGAAAGCTCAAAAGGCCAAGTGGCCTACTCCTGCTTCCATTTTCTATGTTTCTGTGATAAAGAGCAAGAGGATTGAGATGCAGTGAGGAGATTGAGTGATATTTTCAATGGGTGCTGACTGCCTTTCTGTCCTTGATGAGTGCCACTCCATTCTTAGGGTCTCAATGGGTTAAGTCTGTGGATGTTTGGGCTGTAGATGGGTTTGACTGCCCTGAAGAATTCATGAGCATCATGCTGTCAACCATCATGACACCAAAATTATGTTCCACAGGGTAGCAGTCTTTCTTTATGCATCAGAAATGAACAATGTAGAGCAGGCACCTCAAATCCCTTGAGAAATATCACCAGCAATATTTCTGCTATATTTTGTGAATTCCCTGGCAGGATGGACAGCTTAATCTCAGTTTCCTTCCTCAGGACTGCATCCTCAGTATTGAACCATTGGTTGCTGTTAACTAGCTGCATATGGAGACCATATTGCCTGCATGGTTGATGCATGGTCTCCAAAGCAGACTCTATTCTGAGCTTTGTCCTGGCAAGTGGTTACCAGGGGGCAGAGGGAATGCTTCGAGGACATCCTTAAAGCCTACACTAAAAAAAAAATTACTGCTCCTACCAGTCATGGGAATTTCAAGACCAAGATAATCCCAACTGAAGAAGAAGCATCCACAAAGGTATCAGGCAGTTGGGTGTCTCTGACAGGCCCCGATGGAGGTCAACTGCAAACAACAGAAGGTCTGACAAAAACCTGAGGAACAGCCACAAGGTGTGTAGATCCTGTATTGGGTTATTTAGTCACTTCAGGACCCTCAATATCAGATTGGAAAAAGGAATGCCTTAGCAGAAGATTGTTTCTGGGAGATTTCTTGCATCATCCTCCATGATGACGGATGCAAATTAATTATTTCGCTTCTCTGCTATTTTATTATTTCCAAGTATAATGGACTTATGTTTGTGTTTTTCTTTATTACATTCTTCAGGAATTTTGCAGTCATTTTTACGTGTTTTGCTTGTTGCATTCATACCTTATTGTTGCTTCCATTATCACCTTCACGATCTTTCTTTGTTAACTTTGAAATGCTCCTGATCCTCAAGTTTACTACTTGTTTTGTCAGCTTTACAAATATCCTCCATTAAGGTGATGCAAGGTTTCACTTTCTTTGTTAGCCATTGCCTCACTTTTTGCTTTAATAGAATGTATGTTTGTGAAAAACTGTATAAATATTAGATAATGCCTGTCTATCATCAAAGCTCTTAAAATAGTTTCCCAGTCCACTACAGCCAACTTGCCCTTCATAACTTCATAGTTTCCATTGCTTAAATTCAGAGCCCAATTTTTGGATAAAAATACACTATTTTCAATATTAATGGGAAATTCTGTCATGTTATGGTCATTCTTCCCTAATGGTTCTTTTACAAGATTATTGATTAGTCTTTTTTTCATTCAATAATACTAGATCGAAGATAGCTTTCTCAACATGTTGCTCCAGAAAACCAACTTGAAAACATTCCAGGAATTTGCTTTCCATGGCATTGCTTTCATTACATTTACCCAGTTTACATATTGATTGAAGTCATGCTTGATTGCATTGCATTATCCTTGTTGCATGCGCCTCTAATTGCCTGATTTATACCATGCCCAGTATTACTAATACTGGTAAGAAGCAAAGACTTTCCAAAGAAACAGCGAAGGAAGTAGGGGTGGACCTTGGTTAATGGCAGGTATTTATGTTTCTGTGCAAACGTGACAGATATGTGTGAAAGCTACCGCTGAACAAGTGTTTTTACATGCTTTATAGAAGTAAGGTGCCCCTCAAATACCAACTACATACTCTGCCAGATATCAATACTGGAGGACACCATGAGGCAGAGTCCTACGTTTGCAGCGGTGAAATCAGTAATGGTTTTTATTATAAGGAGAAAGCCTTCTGTAGCTGCAGTTAACTGGTTCTCCCATCTTTCCAGACAGGCTGAAAATCAAATGAAAAAGTATTGTGCTGTATTTGCTTTGATACAGACAGAGGGTGTAGTGAAGGGGAGTACACAATATACCCTCAACAGGACAACTATTTGATGATAAGTTAATTAAAGAATGCATTCTTTCTAAAGTACTCCTTCATTTCTCTGTCAAAATAAAATCCCATCTATTGAATTATTTTGTATTAGTTTTCTGAAGAGGAATGAATAAAATTCAGATATCTAGTCTTTGTTTAAAATTTACAGTCTGTCCCAAATGTTGTGCATGGTTCAGCTGAACATAATACATTTTTAACTGGACTGACTCCCTGCTTGATGATTTGTTCATCTGTTGCATCCTTAAAATAAAAGAATACCTTAATCAACTTTAGGTAAAGATTTGAAGGTACACTGTAACCTCTCAGTCTGGAAATCTGTTGTCCAGAAATACATATTGTCCACATTTATTTTGGAAGACTTCCAGCATCCTGTGCTTTGGGAGTGGAAAAATGCTAGATGTATGAAATGAGCTGATGTGTTTGGATAAATCAAAACATTTTTATTATTGCATTATAATGATTTATCACTATTTATGTTTCTGTTAAAGATGCATACATCAACATTGTTGTCCAGTTCACACACATGTGGTTAGATATTCTAACACCACTCTATAATCCAAAAACATCTAGAATCCAACAGTCACTTGGGATCAAGCAATCTAAACTGGAGACCTTACATTTTAAGAAATATCCACTATAACCAGACTTTAGGAGCAGTTGGAATCTTTGAAGGTTCATCATACAAAATAAAACAATGCAGATTTAAAGGTGACTCTGATCTTTGTACTTTGAACACAGGTGCTGCTGTGGACGGCTAGTAGGTGATCACCCTGGCTTAGATAACAAATTACCAGTCTATTTATCAGCTCACAATGATGGAGAGGAGGAATGGTGCATTGAGAATCACACCATAGCAAGTCCAACTGATTCTTTCGGTACCATAGATTTCCAGGATGGCGCTTACTCCTACCGTGCTAAGGTTGGTTACATTTCACAGTTACACAGCGCATGGAGCTAACAACCCTCATAAGCATGTACTGCTCCCATACGAGTGTATTTAATTATGCAAATAACTCACTGATCCAGATTTTAACAAATCATCTCCAGTTCAGACAGGGAGGCACTTAACATTAGGGCAGTCAGTTACCCCCTCCACTTACTTACCTTCCTTTATAGTTCAAATTGAACCTGTTATTTTGTATTGGTGAGTGTGAAACAATAAAAAAAGACCTGCATCTTCTCTGATCCAAATAGTTTTAGAAGGCAGCAATATCTGGCATGTAGTGTTGGCTTCCCCTTTAGGCCAAGGGAGCTAGACTGTGAGCTAGGAGACCTGAGTAAGTTCTAAGGTTTAATTTCAGATTTTCCTGTGGGCCCGAAGGAGCAAGTGTGATCCCCAGTCATTTTTTCTTAGTCCCATTTGATTCGGCTTTTTCCCCCTTAATATTTCTAATGAAGGAATAAGTTTAGTTATATAGCTCTTCAGTGCCGATATTCCTGTTATAGTGGTATATATTGGGAGTTTTCATGCAGAAGTATTGGGTACAGTTGTTAATCCACATGTGTAATGTAGCTGTAAATGAATTGTTGGAATCATTTTTCCAGTGGAGGGGATAAAATTTTTACAATTTGACAAGTTTGTTTTTAAATGTCCCAAAAATGATCTAAATGCTCTCCCTGTTACATTGCAGATTTACTACCTGTATTCTTGCAAGGTTTCCCCAGACCTAATTTTTTTTCCCAACCCAATTCTTTTCCCCCTAATTGACAAGTCCTAATGGATTGTGTGGTCCTTCGCAGTAGATAGAGAATTTCCATTATAGTGCGATCTGTGATTTTGTTATCTTGGGGAGATCCTTGCCCCTAACCCCTGTGGATAACAATGGTTATCTGTATTAATATTTTCTATTAGTGTCTTTTATCCATTACCTCTACAGGGCTTCATTCACCCAGATACTATGAGGAGGGGTAATCTCAAAAGGAAGGTTTTCCAGGCATTGACGAGGCCACATGAGGACCAGTCTCAGAGAGGGTAGGGTGGAGAATGGCAAGGAAGGACACATAACTGTCCTGCATGAGGCTCAGCTATCTCCAGATGTTGAGACAGCAGAGATGATGAAGTCTATTGCTCTCCAGGAAGGCCACCCTGATCATTGTGTCTTACTACAGGATAGAATGAGACTCCTGTGGGTTAGCGAATTTCAAAGAGGTGAAAACAAAGAAGATTCGGGATGTAGTGTTCCCCTGACCTTTTTGTCCTTTTAAAAAGATCTCAATAAAGACTTTATTCCGTTTAATCAGTCCTGCTGTCGCTCCCATTTTACACTGCATTGTCCAGTTATATAGTAACCAGTGGAGAGGCTGAAGAGCTGAGTGTCCTAACGCCCCTTGAAATGAGTGGCTCGCTAAGCTATTTTACAGATCATTTAAGAGTTAATAACATTGCTATGGATCTGAAGCCATGTAGGCCAGACCAGAAAAGGATGACAGATTTCCTTCCCTAAAGGATATAGTGAATAAGATGAGATTCTTCATAGTGAATATACGAAGCCAACAGCAGCAGCAGGATGGTATTCAGCCATAATCTGTCATTTCATAGACTGGCATATCCCTCACTCTATAACTACTACCAAGCCAGGGAATCACACTTGATTCAGTAAAGAGTGCAGAAAGGCAGGCTGGTAAAACAACAGACATGCCTGAAAGTAAGATGTCAAACTGTGAGGCTACAACTCAGTCCCATTTGCATGTTAAATAATAGAAGCATGTGATAGACAGAACTAAACAATCTCTCAACTGCTGGATCAAAGCAAATCTCTACAACCAGATCACATCCAGTCATAAATGGTGGTGGACAATTAAACAACTAACCAGAGGAGGAGGAGGCTCCACAAATATCCTCATCTTCAATGATCAGGTAGCCCAGCATGTCAGTTTTTTTTTTATTCATTCATGGGATGTGGGTGTCACCTGCCTGGCCAGCATTTATTGCCAATCCTTAATTGCCCAGAGGGCAATTAAGTATCAACCACATCGCTGTGGGTCTGGAGTCACATGCTGGCCAGACCAGGTAAGGATGGTAGTTTCCTTCCCTAAAAGACAGATGAGTTCTTTCCCCAGCAGTTAATGATGGTTTTATTTTTTATTACTCCCAGAATTTTATTGATTTCACATTCCACCACCTGCCATGGCAGGATTCAAACCTGGGTCCCTAAAACATTACCTGTGTGTCTGGATTATAGTCCAGCGCTAATACCACTAGATCACCCCTTTCCTGAAGTGCAAGAGACCAGGCTGAAGCATTTGCAATCAGCATCATCCAGAAAGTGGATGGCCATCTGGGCCTCTTCCTGAGGTCCCCAGCTTCACAGATGTCAATCTTCTGCCAATTTGATTCACTTGATGAGATGTAAAGAAATAGCTGACGACATTGGGTGCTGTAAAGGCAATGGGACTTGACAACATTCCAGCAATAGTACTGAAGATTTGTGCTCCAGGACTAGATCTGTCCCTAGCCAAGTTCTTCTTGTACAGCTACAACATTGGCATATACCCAGCAAAGTTGAAAATTGTCCAGTTAAGTTCTTACACACAAGAAGCAGGATAAATCCAACCCGGCCAATTACTGTTCAATACGGTCATAATCTTGGTCACCGTGATAGAGGGTGTCCTCAACAGTGCTATAGAATAGCACTTCAAAAGAAATAGTCTGGTCAACCACACTCAGTCTGGGCTCCATCAGAGCAATTCTTGAGCTGATCTCAAAAGGTGAGGTGAGATTAATGGCCCTTGACATCAAGGCAAAATTTTCTATTAGTTAGAATCATAACTAGAGGGAGTGTGGTTGTGATTGTTGGAGGTCAGTTGTCTCAGCTCCATGACATATCCATAGAAGTTCCTTAGGTTAGTATCTGACACAGTGGCATTTATAAGATGTCCTGCAGCAACACATCAAGGCTTTTTCTACAGTACTTTCCCTAACCAAACTCCAACTACTTAGAAGGACAAGTGGAACAGGTACTTTAGAATCTGCAAGTTACCCTCCAAGGCATGCGTCATCCTGACTTGGAACTGTATTGTTGTCCCTTCATTGTCACAGGGTGAACATTCAGGAACTGTCTTGCTGATAGCACTGTGGATATCCGTGCACCAGCTGAACTGCAGCAGCCCCAGAAAGTGGTTCATGACCACCTTTGAGGGCAATTAGGGATGGGCATTAAATGCTTGCCTGACCAGCGATTCTCACATCCTGTGAAAAGAATTTTAAAATGTACGGGACTGAGGGCATTCCACTGACCGGTCTGTTGGTTCATACTGTCCTTGAGAACTGCTATCCTTTTCGTAGAGGAAGTCATGTACGCACCTGTCGAAGCACGGCAGCTTTCACAGCCTGGATGGACTCCAGCATTATCTCTGCATGGGTACACTAAACCTCTGAAAGCGTCACAAAATGTTCCTTGTCTCTGGTTGCAGTTGTAACTTTTCCATGTAACAGCAGTTAGTGGGCCACTTGAGCATCTCATGTACATGACCATTTTGGAGGGATCTGGTAGGATCCACAAAGCCAGATGGATGTTGTTCACTGATGTAGGTATCCCTTAGACAAGATGTGCTACTTTATTATCAACTGGGCAGTCACCAATAATTTATCATTGTAATATTTTTATTAAAATATAATTAATTTAATCTATCTTATAATATATAACAATATATCTTGGTAAGAACTGTGATATTATGTGACAAATCAAATATGGAAGAGCAGGAAAGTCTAGAATAGATTTGCAGATAATTCTTTGCAACCTAGATGCTTGTATTATTTACTTGCCACATGCTCATGTTGGGGTTGGCTAGATGGCTGGTTTGTGATATGGAGTGATGCTAGCAGCATGAGTTCAAATTCCCATACTGGCTGAGGTCACTGACGATCCTACTTTCTCAATCTTGCCCCTTGCCTGAAGCATAGTTCCCCTTAGGTTAAACTCACTACCAGTCGTGCATGTGTCTCTCTGTCTGGGACTATGGCTGCTACAATGTGCTATTGTTGTTTGGGTCTTGGGGCATTACTGTCTTTAGGGATGGTGCCCTGAAACAACATGCACCTCCCGTGGCAGCGATTTCAATTTGTCAGCTGGCAAGCATAAGCTTGGTAGTGCAGCATTCCTACTTACTGTAAGATTTGCTTTTGCTGTTTCAATTGAGCTTTACTTTTTGTTTTAATACTTACACAATGTAGAGAAAATCTGCGAGCAATCAGAAACTCTTTTTTAGAAAGATAAATTATTTTTCTCTCCATATTTGCAGCCTTGGGTAGAATATTTAAGTGGATGCTTGCTGTTAAATTTTCCAAATAGTTTCTGCCAAAAATGCAACAGGACAACATAATTAGTTCGATCATTTGACAATACTGAATAATAATTTTCTGAATAAGATTTTCTGAATAATTAACTGAATAAGATTTTCCTAACAACAAGTTGACAATACTTTATTTTGTATTCGCTCTGAATTCTCTTCAGTATATTAGAGTCTCATACGACACGGAACTGCACCAGTTGCTCCATTTGATGTTGAAGGAATGGCTAATGGAACTACCAAAGCTACTAATATCTGTCCATGGGGGGAGCCAGAACTTTGAACTTCCTCCAAAGCTGAAACAAATCTTTGGGAAAGGACTTATCAAAGCAGCTGAGACTACTGGGGCCTGGATAGTGACGGAAGGCATCAACACGGGTAGGTTCAATTCTGTTGGTCACATTTGAGGTTCAGATTTTTGGAAACCAGAACTATTTGATTACTTAACAAGTATGAAATAGTACTCAAAACGCTTTGATTTGCTGCAGTCGTAATTTTGTAAATTTTCAGAGTTGGCGTGTTTCAAGGTAATGATTTGTATTTTATCCATTATTCTGGAAATCTAAGAGAATTTTTTGACTCATTTACGTAGTCATATTGACAGAGGAAGATATGATTAGTTGTTTTTCATTTTAGAAGAAGATTGTATAGAGATTAAACGTTATGGGAGTTGAGGCCTAATTCAAAATGTAGTATATGAGCAGTAATGGTAAGGCAGATCTCTGATTTAAAAAAAAATGCACTGTTGACTTAAAGTTCGCTCTTCTATAATGTTACGCATTTACAATGGGTGATCTCAAACCTCCAGTTTGACTCTCAAATGCATTTTGACTTGTTTTGTTGCCCATTTTGAGATGGAATGTTAGGCATCAATTGGGTAGAATTTTATTTCATCTGGTTATGGATAGAGACATCACTCGCTAGCTCAGCATTTATTGCCCATTCTTAATTGCCCTTGGGGAGGTAGCTGTCTTCTGATATTTGTCTGTGTGGCATAGGTAGACCCAAAATGTAGTGAGTTCCAGGAATTTGACCCAGTGACAATGAAGGAACAGTGATACAGTTCCAAGTCAGTTGGCTTGGAGGGGACCTTGCAGTACAGCAAGATGAGCAGTCAATCAGATTAAACGTTTCTCCTATATAACAAACCAGAATATAAAAAGCATTGACTATTATCGATTATTTTCATCGTTTCAAGAGAATGAAATAAATATTACGTCATGTTCATGAAATTAAAGTGGGAAATAAACTACCTTAAACTTAAAAACAGCTTCATTGTTTGCAACACATATGAAATGGAATGTTATAAACACTCCAGACTTCAGAACTTAGTTTGTCAGGAGCAGAATTTATGGCTTACTGTTTATAATACAGTTAGACTTCTTTCAACAAGGCTTAATATTTTCAATGTGTTTTTACAGTGAGGGTAATGTGTAAAGAATTGAAATTCCTACTCTGATCTTCACTGCTTTGTACTGGGGTTCTTCACTAGGGCAGTCTAGATATCTACCTGGGACATATAGTAACTTAACTGAAGTAGCATTGACACCACTCAAATGCCAGGCAATGACCATCTTCAAACGAGAGAGAATCCAACACTCCCCAATCCCTCCTTCCTAATTGTTTGGAAATAAAATGATGAAGAGAATTCTTCTTAACATACTGCAGCAACTCCTTTCCCTCTCCAACTGTAGTTGTACCAATTTGTCGTAGAATAATTAACGTCACCCTCTTTACCTACACTATTCTTTCTCTGCATCTCTGTAATTTTTCTACAAATTTGCTGCTCTACAGTTCTCTAGTTGGTGACATATAGATCATATCCAGTAGGCCATTGGCATCTTCAATGTTTCTTAACTCTAACCAAAAAATTTAGTCCTTGACCCCACCTAGACATCATTGCTCTCAAACACTCTAACCTGCTCCTTATTAAATTCTGCCATTCCTCCTTCCTGTCTTTCCTGAACACCTTGGGTGGCAGGTGGCTCAGTGGTTAGCATTGCTGTCTCACAGCGCCAGGGATCTGGGTTCGATTCTACCCTCGGGCAACTATCTGTGTGGAGTTTGCATGTTCTCCCTGTGGCTGAGTGGGCTTCCTTCGGGTGCTCCGGTTTCCTCCCACAGTCCAAAGATGTGCAGGCTAGGTGGATTGGCCATGCTAAATTGCCCGTAGTGTTCAGGGATGTGTAGATTAGATGAGTTATAGGGGGATGGGTCTGTGTGGGATGCTCTGAGGGTTAGTGTGGACTTGTTGGACTGAAGGGCCTGTTTCCACACTGTAGAGATTCTATGATCTTCTATGACCTTGTATCCAGGTATTTTCAGCACCCAGTCTTGTCCTTTGTGAGCTAGATGTCCATTGCCACATCATATTTCCGAAAACCAAAAACAGAAATTTCATGAGGAAACTCAGCAGATCTGGCAGCACTTCTGGAGAGAGAAACAGAATAATGTTTCGAGTCCAGTGACCTTTCAAATCATATTTCAATGTGGATATCTGCAGTTCACCAATCTTACTTAGTAAAGGATGTACATTGAATCAAATGCATCGTAGATCTGAATTAGATCTTACTGTATTTCCTTTTGAACTGATCACATTTAATACCTATACTATTTCTTACTCCAGTACTATCTATCTCCCTCAAACCGTTCTGCTCTGCACCCCCTCCCCCCCTATCATTTTATTAGTCATGCATTCCTCGATTTGCCCTGGTATTTCTGTATTCACTAGCATATGGCTCTGGGAATAATCCAAAGATTACTACCTTTGATATTTTGCTTGCTAGTCTCCTTCCTAGCTCCCTGAAATCTGCCTGTAAGTCCTTTTCCCTCTTTCTACCTACAAATATGGGCCACAATCTCTAGCTGTCAATCCCCTTCTGTTAGAATGTTGGGTAACCACTCAGTAACAACCCTGCCCTTGGCAGAAGGAGGCAACATTGCATCCTGGATTCATGGTCTATCTATATCTCTAACTAATTATAGAATCCCCTAGCAATTTTCCTTTCCCAAAATACTCTATGCCATCACATCTGGACAGCTAATTCACCTATAGTGGAACTGTAAACTTAGCTCTGTCTATAATCCACAGGTGAACCATCACTCATACCAGTGTTCTGAGTGGAGGCAGTGACATAGTGGTAATATCACTGGACTAGTAATCCAGACCCTGAGGCTATTGTTCTGGGGATATGGGTTTGAATCCTTTCATGGCAGATGTCGAAAATTGAATTCAATGACAAAGAAAAGTATCTAAAATCTAAATCTGAGATTAAATGTAACTGCTGTCAATTTTTGTAAAACTCATTGTTCACTAGTATCCTTTAGGGAAAAGAAATTAGTAACTCCAGACCTATAATATGATTGATTCTTAACTGCCCTGTGGGCATTTAGTGATGGGCAATGAATGCTGGCCTAGCCAGTGCTGTCCATATCCCATGAATGAATTTAAGAAACTGAGTACTTGTTATAAAGTGGACTGCATTCACAGAATGTCTGCACTGCTTTCTTGTCCTCCTTTGGTGGTGGCCACCATACTATCTCTGCCTGTGTGCCTTTAAATGTGTGGGGTGAGCCCCTCTGGAAACTCGGAATCTACGTAGGTCTCAGCCTTGATTGTACGAGAGAGAGAACAACTGCTGCTTAAACTTCTTCTACTGATGATACATCTGAATATGAAGCTCCCAAGTGAAGTGGATTGTGCATCGCACAGGATAGATCCTCTATGAAACTAAACTGAACAGAAATAAAGACTTATTTAGGATTTATATAACCAAATTTAACTAGTGTTTATGAATTTATTAACTAATTTTAAGTTACATACATTTAATTTTAATATTAACACAATAAAATCTCCCCACTGTAAAGATCACAAAGTAACATTTTAATATTTACCGGTCAGTCATCCACCTACTGCCTTTTGTTAGTGCTGGACTTGTTTGTGTTAGTGTTGAAGCTCTGTCTGATTTGCACCTTGCAGGTCTCAGGTTTGACTTTATCTTTCATTGCTCCTCCAGTAGTCCTACAGGAACTACAAGTATTTGGTCATTTATCCCAATATTTCCTTTGTGGTTGAGCACAAAATGTTGTCTTTAATAGTCTGGTGCAGCACTTCGCGTATTTCTTTGACATTAAAAGCTGTAAATAAATGCAAATTGTTATAGTCTGGTCAATCATTTTTAATTAGATTAAACAGCAACTGTGTTCTTTTTCTGACTCTCTAGCTACAGTATAATTAACAGTCTTACTTCTTTTGAAATTAGGAACTTCTAGACATGTTGGAGATGCAATAAAAGATCACACGTCCCCATATTTACGAAAGATCTGCATAATAGGGATTACACCCTGGGGAGTCATAGAAAATCACCGAGATTTGATTGGGCAAGATGTAAGTGACCTGTGACTGACTAATCAAACCTTTCCGTCTCAAATAACAGAACAGCATTTGTATTTCACTCTAGTGAAGGCACTGGTGATGTTACTGGACTTGTAAACCTATTATCCAGGTTAATAAACTGGCTTCAAATCCCACCATGGCTGATGGTGAAATTTGAATGTACTAAGTAAAACCTGGAATTAAAATCTATTCTGATGGTGACCATGTAACCATTAGTAACAGCCCATCTGGATCACTGAGGTAATCTGTTGACTTTACCTATTCTGACCTGCACGTGGCGCCAGACCACAGCATTGTAGCTGTCCTCTGAGATGGCCTACCAATTTAGTTGTATCAAACCACTTTGAAATATAAAAGGAACTTTCCATTGTCGGACATGCTAAAAAAAATGAAAGGAATGAAATGGGATGGACTGCCTGACATCAGCCTAGGCACTGGAAGTGACACCAGCAAAGTTAGTCCTGTTGACCCTACCAAATCTTCCTTACTATGATGTGAGTCTTTTTGTGCCAAAATTAGGACAGTTGTCCCTCAGACTAGTCAAACAACAGCGTGACATAGCTACACTCATCCAAGCATTACTATCTTGAGTAGAACAGGCCCACCAGAGGTGGCAGGACCATGGTATACAGTTAGGAAGTAGGGAGTTACCTATGAGTCCATGACATTAACTCTGGACCTCATGAATCTCACAGACAAGGAAATATTCTGGTAATTACCATATCCCACCCCCACCCCATAGCTGATAAATTCATATTTCTCCATGTTGAACACTAATTGGAATAAGAACAGAGAACATGCTCTGGTTGTGGATTTCAGTGCCCCATCACCCAAGACCAACTCGGAAGAACTATTACTGACTGATATGTGCAAGTCCTGAAGGACATAGTTGCTAGATTGTGTCTGTGATAGGAGGTAATAGAGAACCCACAAGAGGGGAAAAAAATCTACTTGATTTTGTTATCATTAATCTATCAGTCACAGACAGTGATGGTAGGAGTGACCACTGCATGGCCCTTATGGAGAAGAAGTTACACCTTTACATTGAGGATGCCCTGCAACATGTTGTGCAACATTACCATGTGGTAAATGGGAAGGTTTTGAACAGATCTAGCAACTCAAGACTGTGCATTCATGAGATGTTGTGGGCCATCAGCAGCAGCAGAATTATATTCAACCACAGACTGTAATCTCAAGGCCTGACATATCTTCCATTCTATGGTTACAATTAGGCTGAAGGATTAATTTTTATTTCATGTAGAGTCCAAGGGAGGCATACCAGGAGCAGCACCAGACATAACTAAAACCGAGGTGTCAATTTGATGAAGCTACAACACCGGATTATCAGTAAACAACAGAACTGGCATGTGATAGAGTTAACTCCTCCTACACTTTGGGAGAAAAAGCCCCAGCCTCTCCTTATCACTCAAAACTTTCAATCTCGGTTACATCCTTATAAATCTTTGTGGCATCCTTTCCATTTTAGAAATATCTTTCCTGTAGCAGGGCGACCAGAACTGCATGCAGTATTCCACATGTGGCCTGACTAATATCTTGTACAGCGGTAACATGATGTCCCAACTCTTGTACTCAATGCTCCGACTGATGAAGGCAAGCGTGCCAAATGCCTTCTTTGGCACCCCGTCTACTTGTGACACCACTTACAAGGAACTATGTACCCGAAACCCAAGGACTCTCTTTATGACTCTCCAGGGCCCTATCATTAACTGTGTAAATCCTGCTGTGGTTTGTCTTACCAAAATGCAACATCTTCGAATTATCTGAATTAAACTCCATCTGCCACTCCCTGGCCTGCTGGCCCAGTTGATCAAGATCCCACTGTACTCTCTGATAACCTTCTTCACCAAGTTGTAGAACAATGTAGTGCTACATGAATGGATTTTCCTTCCATTTTAATAGCCCTTAAGTATGAAATTTAAAAATAACACATCCTTTTCCAGTTTTGTTTGTGTACAATTGTCAATTTCTTAGTAAGTGAGGGAAAACAATTGAAAGTTTTTTGAACGCTCATTAGTGTCCATGCATCTCACAAAGTAATTTCATTATAACAGCCTTCTGAGGTCTTCAAATGGAAACAGTCAGTGGAAACTCGCTATAATGGTAGTTTGCTGAGAGGCATGGCAGCAATTTTGGGCCAGGCCAGCTTCTATTAGAAATCTAACTTGCACTGGATGTAATTTGGTTTTGAAATTTCACAATCTTGTATATGGTTTGGCTGATTGCAGATGAATTGCAGTGGAAGTAATAGTGGATGGAATAGTGGAAATCCCAGCTCCCAACGTATGTGCAGTTTATGGGAAACTAATTTGCGCTTAGCTTGTACAGACCTCATAGAGCCATCCACAGTATGTAGACTCACCTTACTTCAGGTTCATACTGACAGTAGCAAGTTCATAATCAATGCAAAGATTCATATCTAAACTTGAAACAAAGTTTTAGGCCCTGGCATCTGCCAGACTGCATTTCAGATACTTTTAATTACTGTGTTCAGAGATATTATGACACATCTTTGGAGGACTTGAACCTGGACATTTTAGCCTAGAGTAATGGGCCCTATTGCATGACAAGAGCCACCACACTATATTTTAAGCTATTAATTTGTGAACAGGCAGGAACATAGTATTAATTTTGAAAGTTTCATCAATAGTGGGATACTAGTGAGAAAAGTTCTGCCTGGATGTATTTAAAATACTTGCAGCATAAAAATGTTTAGGAGAGCATTTCAATTAAATGTTTCGTCATCTAACAGACAGGTATCTCTGAAAGCTAATATGGTAGATACATCAATTGTTCAACTTGGCCTTGTTATGTGTTGTAAAATATCATCTCTAGTTTTACAGGTACTTGGACCATGTATAAGGAGTAAAAGACCAAAGTTTTTATAATGTTTTAAAGAAACTTGTATATATGCATTTCCTCAGGTAGTGCGACCCTATCAGACACTCGGTAACCCATTGAGCAAGCTGACCAGTTTAAATAGCAAGCATTCCCACTTCATCCTAGTAGATGATGGAACTGTTGGCAAATATGGGAATGAGATGAAGCTGAGGAGGAAGCTGGAAAAATATATTGCACTTCAAAGAATCCATACTCGTAAGTATAGGCAACCGACCACTGTGCTTGTGTTTGTGGAGAAGGTGAGTCCTCCCCTTTCCATGTACATTGACAAAACCTGAATATAAGGATCCATTTGATTGACCTTTGACCCTAAGGAACATCTAATTTCCTCATTGTAAAGACCAGAAAAAATCAGGTTGCTAGGGCCCTGCTTTATTTACTTATTTTGGAGGTTTCTCGTGGAGGATGTTTGGTCATTTGTGCCAGACCTTCCTGGCCCCTCACTTCATTTCATTTTAGCAACAGGAACTGAATTCACTGGAACAGTGTACATGGAACATGGCAGCACCATATTTGAGTCAGGATAGTGCATGGCCAGCCTGCACCACTTTCCCATTAAACACATGCTGGAAAGGGTGTCCAGTGAAATGTAAAGCCAAAGCTGATTCCAGACCCCTTCCCTCTGACAAAGAGGTTTGCCGAAGTTCCAAGTGTAATTGAATGATATTTAATGAGTATAAGACAGAAGATCAGCTGTCCAGGCTGTTCCTTCACACGCAACAACAAGCATAGGGGGAGTAACCCTTACATATTCCCACATGGTTGGGTCCAATTTTAATCACCAGCCCCACCACAGGGACACCTTTGCTGTATGGGGTTTGTATTATAACAAATTGGTTATGCTATTAGGGATTAAAATGCGGGCCACTGATATACAGTGATTAAATAGGTCTTGTTCATTCTTATCAATATTGCATTCTGACATTTGTTGCTTTGGGTATTGAATTCCATGTCTCTTCATTATATATACAATGAAATCTATTAGTTGATTATCTTTATTGCCTACATAGAGATATTATTTGAGGTACATGTGTTTAAATATTTTGTTTTGCCATTTTTAAAGTTGAGTGTGCACAATACATTACATACTTTACGCTTACTTTCAAAATCAATAGCCTTGTGAGATCTTTTGATGCAATTAAGGTTTTTTTCTTTTTTCCCCAATGTAGGGATGGGCCAAGGTGTCCCTGTTGTGGGGCTGGTGATTGAAGGTGGACCTAATGTCATCCTGACTGTGTGGGAATATGTAAGGGATACTCCCCCTGTGCCTGTTGTTGTATGTGAAGGAACAGGCAGGGCAGCTGATCTCCTGTCTTTTACTCATAAACACACTGCGGATGGTGGGTATGTTCCTTGTTCATATGTTATTTTATAAACAGGAATTTGCAGGATAGCTGAAGTTTGTATTCTACCAAAAAAATGTTGTTTATGTTATTGGCATTAGTACTGGGACCATGCTCTAATTAAATAGGTTAAAGCCATATTTTTTATTAACATTGTATTCTGAAATTTGTAATGTTTCTTTGGGCATTGAATTCCATACCTCTTCGTTATTCGTATCATGAGATCTATGTTCAATTGTCTTTATTTTCTATATAGACATATTTGATGTACATGTCTTTAAATATTTTATATTGCTCGTTTCAAAGTTGAGAATGCTCAGAAAAATTGGAGTTAGATATCTGAGGTGAGACTTTTTCTCATCTTCATGCTGCAGTGCTTAAATTGTTTGTATGCTTATGCAGCTAGCAGAAGGGTCGGGGGTGTGAAATGGGGGCCAGAAGACACCTTCAGGAGAAGCCAATACCTAGTACGACATCAGGGTAGAAAACATTCTCAGAGATGTTTAGCACATTGGAGAAGAATGCAATCTGGGCAATTAGGATGACAGAACAACTGAAAAAAAAATTCAGGGAGCTGAGCCTGTTTCTCTACATGTAGAGATATTAAATAGAAAGGAAGTGCTGTTTCAGGAAAGGAGTCAAGGATTTATATCCACTTCAAGTATTAGTTGGCTGTGACAATGATTGGCACCTCCTTGAACCCCAAGATTTTTTTGTACTGCAGTTTATTGACCTCCCAGATCAGCCAAGATCATATTTTAAGAGTTGAGCCCTGCTTGCGCTTAACAAGACTTCTTCAATAGATATAGTAGGAACTGCAGATGCTGGAGAATCCGAGACAACAAGGTGCAGGGCTGGATGAACACAG